GCTTTGCCAGCTATGAAAACAATAAAAGAAGACCTAAAGCAAGAAGACCTCCTACTCTCCCTCACAATTCCTTTCTTCCCTGAAGAGGTTCCTTTGTATGTGCAGAGTCAAATGCAAGGCTCATTGTTTCTGTCACTTTCCTGTTTGCTTTTTGTACTTCCACTACTAAAAAACAACATTAAAACTTTGAAAACATACAGAGGGAAGGGAATCAAGAGGAAAAACCAGCTGTTTCCAGCAGTTAACAGCTGGGGTGGAGGAGTACCCACAAAATGGAAACAAGTCAACAGTGGGGGATGAGGGAGAGCAAAGCAGGGCGGAAGCTGGAGAGGAAACAATCATCATCCTGTGCTTGCTGTTACCTGGGACTACACTGTCAACATCTGGGAAAGTATCCAGAATGGTCCTTTGAAAAATATGGACTCCAAATGACTGGTCATCCCAAGGACTGATGGGGAGCGGGTCAAATGCCTCCACAACATCAATCTTCACTTTGTCGTCAGCAATGATGTTTCTAACTGCCTCTAGCACCTATGGGCAACAGACAGGCATTGAACAAGCCAAAGGAATGAGAGATGGCCACAAATGTTCCACTTTCCAGAGAACATCTGTCGGTCAACTGCCAACTGTGGCTGCAAATACAGCTGCAGAGTTAGGACTGAAACTGTGGGGCAGCCTCTCTTCCTCTCACTCAGTGAACGGCTGATACTCAAAGTAATTGGTTTTGACCAGTCTAATCAGATTCACACCATGGTCTCAAGGTATTCCTGAACTGCATCAGTCCTGACAACTTGGAAGTTAGGTCATCCAAGTAACTAACCCAGGAAAAGCTTCCAGAGAGGTCAACTTCCAGCAGAAGCTTGGGAAGGGAAGATGTTATTTACTGCCAATGTTTCGTACCTGCTGAAGTGTGCAAGATTCCATACTCTCACAGGTCACAAACCTTAACACTTCCAATTTCATAACCACATATGATCCACAGAAAGGCTTCTGAAACCTGCCTGATATAACTGCAAGCCATGCTTTCAAGCCTGGCCTGCCTCTTGCTCTGCTCCACATCCAGAAGCCGCAGTAAACAATGCACTTTGTAATCCATCTCAAAGGAGGAGAAAAGGCATCCAATAAGCTGTGTTTCTGACAGTCTCCATAAAGGAGCAATTCCCAAATCTTCGCCCTCTACTGCTTCTATGAATACAGGGGGAGATGAAATGGCCAAGTGTCACCGTGCAAGTGTTGAAGGCTGGAAGTACCTCGGTAGCCTTCTCTGCAGAGTGGATGCGGAAGTTCACAGTTGCTTTTGCAGAAGATGGGATGACATTTATCTAAGAAAGAAAAAAAGGAAGAGCCAACTCTTAAAAGGAAGTTCAAACCAGATTAAAATTCCAAGTGCAAACTCAGAAACTGCTCAGACGACTCCAGCCTAATGCTTCACTGTTTCCACAAACAGGAAAGGTGGGATCTCTTTCTGTACTCTGGGTTAAAACACTCTAAATCTCACCCAGAATGCAGATAAATCCACAAAGAAATATTCATCAATACAACAAAAATGAAGTTTGCTGATAGACACAAGTTTTCCTCTTGAGACAATTCCCCTCCCTTCAGAAACTTCATACTGAGAAATTCTCAAAGCTGATGTTGGTCTTTTTAAGCACTATTTGTACCTCATCCTCATATTACTTTTCCCCAATATGAGACACGTAAGTCACTTAAATGATGTAACTGAAGACTCTTTTCCTACCAAAATCAGTATTTATAATTTTGTTAAACAAAAATGGTATGAACTGTAAGGAGAAAAACCCAAACCAACAAACAAGAAATCAGGGTGTCACTTCTCTCCTGGCCACTCAGTGTCACTGTTCAGCCACTGCATCTTGTTTTCTTGTCCAGTGATGCTTTTCAGTAACAGATTTTTCAGGGACACACCAAACAGCCTGTTTATCTTCCAGGGCTACAGTATTTTTGGATTAGCTACACCTCCTTATCAGGGCAAGATCTGGCTGTATCAGCCAGAACCTGTTATCACTCGGTCCAAGGTGCACGCTCCATACTTGAACGAAGGTAAATGCCAGACCTGTGCTCACAAACGCAACCCCATCTGGGCTAGGGAAGTCTTTAGGACTGTGAGTTCCAAATACTGTCATTGATACTTTGTGTGATCACACAGAAAACACTCTTTTCCACCCTAAAATCTTGACACTAGTTTACAGAGATCTTTTTGTGACAGAGAGCAGGTACTTCTGAAAGAAACTAATATTCAACTGCGGCTAAAACCAAGCCACCCCTGGAGTAAAAATGAGAGCGGTGGTGACACCACACAGGGTCCAAGACCAGGGCCCATACTGATCTTGTAACTAGGTATAAACAGGTAGAAACAAAGTGCCCCAATTCTCTCATTGTACTACATGGAGAAAGGTCAACATGAAGCTACCTTGATTCCCGCGTTAAACATCGTCACCGCTGTAGTCGTTCGAATCAAGGCGTTGGTGGAAGGTTTCCAGGAAAGAACTCTTACAAGGAAGAAACAAGAAAGAAGTTTAATAACAGTAAACCAGAAGCACCATAATTCCATAGTCTATAAGCTGAATTATAGCCTATTTAATGAACAAAGTGGTTATTAGCTGGAAAGTCTAAACTATGAAATGATAGAATTGATTTCCTGGGAAGACTAGAAATGGCTTGTGGTCTTCATCTTCAAAGGGGGAGAGATTTGGGAATGTTTAATCAAGAATCTATTTTCTTACCTGCTGACAACAGGGGAAAACAGCCATAGATTGCTCATGATGACATTGAGGGGAAACGTGAACTAAGTGGAAGAAATAAAACCACAAATCAGAAAGTCTCTAGTTTTCAAGACAATATGTAGTCACTCAGCTCTTGTTGAAACAATGATCTGGGAGAAAGGCTTAAGCCTTCTTCTTTCCAGGAACTATGTAACTACACTCTAAATTCATTGCTCTTCACTTTCCAGTATGAAAATCTGAGAATGAAATCACAGTTCTTTCCTCACCTCTGATGCGAGGTGCTCCATAGTCATGAGTTCTGGCCCATGGCCAAAGAGGTTGCGCAAGGGATTCTGCTCCAGTCTACAGCAAAGCACATCAACATGTGACATTTAGAACCCCATTGACTATCACCACTCCAGGAGATCAATAGGAATTTGATTTCTGAAATGCATCCATGGATTTGAGATGCAATCACACTGTCCTCTCCTGGTAAGTACGTCTACAAGCACAGCTCCCCGACTGATGTCTGAGCATTCCAGTCCCATACAAAGACTTTCTTAGAACACCTGAAAAAATCCCAAAGCCTGACACTTATAAGGAATACATGGAAATCTAGAAAAATACACACCAGATTCCAGCATATCTTGACATATTAAGTTTTTCTAAGATACATGTTTATTAGCCAATCTGATATCTACAGAGACATGTAAAGAGATGATTCCCCCAGTCACATTGTGACTTTTTGACTTGGTAGTTGTCCCTTTGCTGGGGATTGCATTGCAAAGAGAGCTACAAATTTCAATGCCAACTATATTGTGGGAATTTACAAAATATAACTATTTAAATAGTAACACAGCAGTGACTTAGGAGTCTGCTGGGCTGTCCTGGATGTCAGATGACAGGGCAGCTCTCACCTGGTCATCGCTGCTGCAAGAATGCCAATACTTGTCTCCTTCGGGGGAAAGGATGAATGTCCTGGCTCTTTTTCCACAGTGAAGTTCAGTGTTATTGAGCCCTTTTCTGTGATAGCAATTCTGTTCAATGATAAAGAAGTAAATGATTAATACAACTCCAAACACACATGCACAGACCACAGGCAAAAAGAACTACACTGTGTATTTTCACTATCGTAAAAACCACTAAAGCAGCAGCAACATCAAATCCTCAACACAAGCTTTAGATGTTTGGAGGGCTGATGTCTTGGCTGCTTCTCCCGTGAGCAGACACTACAGTACAAACATGGTTGCCCTGGCTAAATGGAACCTTCTGCTGCTGTCAGCACAGCTGTGATGGACAGCAAGCAAACACCAAAGGTCCTCTGCTTGCACTTTGTGCACTGCTGCAGCTTCAGCAGCACCAGCACTGCCACATGCCTTCAAAACATATTTTATTGCCATTAGCGAGGTCATTTCTTACAGATTAATTCTTGAAAATGGGTAGTTTTCATCATGGTCAATGTGTTCTCTCTTACACTGCTACTGGCTTCTTCACCCCCGTGACGATGCCATCTAGTATGGCACTGCCCTCATCCAGCAAGAAGCAGAGCTTCACTCCTCGTGCTTCCAACAGAGCTGCCATCTCCATCGCTCCCTTCCGACCAAGCACCTGTGGGAATCAGCAGAGGAACTCATCAAGTGAAGCCATCCCATTGGGAAGAACACTGGAAAACATCTTGCTGTTGATACTGCCCAGTGCTACAGTGCAAAGAATGCAAGAAACCCCCTCGTGAGCAGCTCCAGAGCAACCTGTCAGTAGATCCTTCCCAGCAGAATTCACTGGAGATCATTAATGGCCCAGTAGGGGATGAATCCATATCCACACAGGGGAACGCTCCCATCCACAAGTCACTGAAATTGCTTTGAATCCTTGGTTCTTGGACACGGTGAGATATCAGAGCCCTGAGCTCCACAGGTCAGTCTTTTTAAAGAAACCCACCTCATCTGTCTCTCTGTACCATTCCTAGTGGGCATTCCCACAACAAACAGGGAACAGTTTTGTTTGCTCTTCCTGACCATGTGGAACAGCCACAGAAATCTTAAACCAGCTTCTCATGTACTATGTGTACGCCAAAACGTGACTCCTTCTGCACCTTCCACGCAGAAAAGAACTGGAACTAGCACTCTCCTGTGTTCTTTTCTCTTTGCTCATCTCACCAAACCCTTTGTCAATGTCAAGTAAAGCCAAACGATCAATATTAACTATGACCACGTACCTGACACAGGATCTACCCACACAACCAAGAAAAACAGGAAAGACTTTCTAGGTAAACAATGTTTTAAAATTAAGCCTTGTTACATACATGAACAACGCAAACTTGTTACTGCAGAGAAAGAAAATACCTCTTCATCATGTCCAATACCAACATAGAAAGATCTGTGGGGTCTGTAATTTCTTCTCAGCAAAAACTCTAGAGCTTGCAGAATCCCCTGCAGAAAAAAACCCAGAATGTATTTACTGTTCTTGTGTGGTAGGAAGGAGAAGAACAATACAAAAGAATGCAATGTGATGGAAAAGCAGCATGATGCATTCACAGCCCTTAAGGAGACTTTGTCCTGTTCACAGTTGAGCTTTTATTTCTACAGCTCCTACTGGGGATGTTCACATTCTCTGCAAAACACACTAATCACTAATGTTTAAGACTTAGTGTGCTACACAATGACAGTGGGCATACACAAAATACACTGTCAGCTTGTTCCTGCTCCCAGGGAAGTCACTGACAAACTGCACAGGAAGCCCAGCAGAGCTGGGGTTCTCCAAGGAACCCACTGTTCTTTAAGTTGTCTGTCCAACACGCAGCTTGGCTCCGACCTGAGCTACCAAATCCATTTATGTGAATGAGAACTAGATTTTGTACAAGCAGTGCAAAGATGACAGAAACAGGAGAGACTTAACCTGGAGAAAGGAAATCTCCCATTTGCTGCATTTGCTTTTCTCTGAGAAGAAATGACACTGCCTCCACCTTGCCACGTTCACTGCGACTGTTCATTGTTACTGTCCACTTGTGGAGTTACTCATGCACTTCACAGTAAAAGGAAGCATCAAACCAAAGCTGCGAGTTGCAAGGCTTTGATATTGATGATTAAACAACCTGAAGAAACTTTCTAGGAACACAGTCTATGCAGCCAGAGGATCTGTGACAGTGCTTTGCTAAACATCTATTTAAATTGAAATAGAGGGCTGTCATGGAAATGATCTTTGCAAGTCACAAAGGACTATTTTCCTTATTAATTTTTCCATCAAGCTTTTCCCAACTGAGACACCTTTCACAGATCAATCTATTTTGTACTTTATTCCTCCCAAATGTACTTAGTACAACAGCTCTTTGTTCTGCCACTGACTAGGTAGAAGATATTTGACTCTAATGTTAAATAAATGGTGTTTACTCTGAAACTCAAGCCTTTTCAAAGGGCCAGGTTTGGCTTTGAATGCCCATATGACACCTGGGAAGAAGTACAAGGTCTATCCCTGACTTCAAACACAGCATTTGATATACAATTTAAATATGGCAAATTAGCCATATTTAGCCTCTGTGAATATGTTTTTCTGCATCTTCTAAGAGCTTTCTCTCAGCTTTCCTCAGTAGTAAAAGGCCATTCCAGTCACCTCTAAGAAGTTGGGAGAAAACTGCAGGGTTTAGGAATTTATCACTAGCATCCTGCATGCAAACAGGGGCAAGAGAGACCATGTAGTGAATTTGAAGAGAACAGATTCCTCCAATCTACCTTTTGTCAGGCTCTGTATCTCTCTGAAATGATATTACCAAGGCGACGTACTATGGCAGAGTTCTTGTTATCCAGAGTTCCTCGTCCATAGATGAATCCTTCATGCTCTGCAGCTGAGAAAGGAGGGAATTCCCAGCCCTCCGGGGGAGCAGGCACAACATCCATGTGTGCAAGCAGCATGTAGGGCATCATCTGAGGGTTAGAACCCTGGACAGTAAAGAGATGGCTGTATTCACCAATGACTTCATGCTGAATGAACTCTGAGGAAAACACAGCTGGGAAGACTGTGAAGAAAGACATTAAAAACATGTGAATAAGAATGTCCACTTTTATCATTTTCTGCTCATAGAGTAGTCACCTATTGAGCCTCAGGGGAGGGAGCACTGACTGACCACAGGGGAGCTACTCCAGGAAGCAGATGTGCAGCTTCCTTCTCACACTTCTACCAACCCATCTCACTTCATATTTAACACAAAGGAAAAGCTAGTGCACTGCTGTGCACCAGTGCTGCAGCTCTGCAGGTAGCAATGATGGGACTGCCAAAAAAACAGGCTGAAGCATGGGTAGCCATCCTATTTTTGAATTTTTTAATGGCAAGGTCATTTAACCAAGTCAAGAACCAAACCCCAGGTTCAAAGCCATTTGAACCTTCTCTGTTCTAGCTTTGGCCATGCTATATCACTGCATGGTGCAGAGGTGACTTGTGTGTGCTGGTTTTGCCAGTCCTTTCTGGAGGCAAACCAAGCTTCATATCTGTTCCATTCTGCTCAAGAACCACATATACACTCCTCTATTTGTCTACTAAAATAAAACCAAGCAGCAGAGATGGTTAAGAGTGAGTTTAGTACCTTTCCGAATGTAATTCCCAAACTCTGCCATGGCAGTTGTATTCAAGTCCTCTGGAGATATGGAAACAGTTGGGATTTTAATAGCACCTTCAATGGAATATGAAATAGAAATCATTTGACACTGAAATCAGTCAAACAAGACTTAAACTGCATTTCAAAAGGGAAAGGAATATTTATGTTCCTGAGTGTTTTCCAGGCTTTAAAGATTATCTCACGGGATAGTGAGAGCTGCCCCCATCAAGAAAGACTGATGTAGTCCAGCTGGGCTGTGTGCAAGCAGCACACCAGTGCTTCCTTCCAGTTTCAGCCAAGGTATTTCCCTAGATACTCCAACTCCATTCTTCATCCTACTGTGCTGAATGATACTGTCAGAAGTGCCCCTGTCCAGAAGCAGCTGCGTTTTGCTGGGGTGATCCAGTTCCTCCTACTCACAGACTATTGTGGCAGCTGCCAGATGGCAGGTCAAGGTTCTTTTTCAATAGTAAGTGAGGCTGCAACAAGATTGTTTCATAAAGACAGGTCTTTTGTTGGTCCTTCTAACCTCCTCTGTCATTTAAACAGGGTCAGACAAGGCTGCTCTCCAACATCAAGTCACTGTCAAGCAAAACATGGATCCCAGTCACAGCTTTCCTAAAAGCATGTCAACTGAGGTTACAGATTTTATCAAAGGTTGTGTTTTTTGAGACTCACAGAACCAAATGGACTCAGAGAATCCCAGCCTGGTTTGGGGTGAAG